CTTCTGGGAAGTGCCTAGCATACAGCTGGGCATGTGCCTAGTAATAATCTTGGGCTGCATCTCTACCAGGACCAGAAAATACACCTCTTCCAGCTTTGGATCCCACCCACTACCAAAAACATAGGGGTGGATTTGGATCTGGGGATTTAAATCTGAGATTTCCGCCCACACCCGCCAAAGTGGGGGCCGGGGGTCAGACTTGAAGTTCTTGTGAGGCTCCAGCTTAATAATGTTTGCTCCTGTGGGACTCCTACCCAATCACCTCTTGTTTCATAAAGTTCTGGGCTGCTGCAAATAGGGACTTAGAGTGAATGTGCCATCATACTGGAAAGGGCTGGTGAAGAAGACAGTTCTGCCTAGACTAAATATAACCTGCAAACCTGATGTGGACATTGCAGAATGGTATCGAAGAGAGTGAACAACAAATTGAGGATCACCCTTACTGTCTTTTGTGTTTCAGAAGGCCCTAGAACGCTGCCAGAGCTGCTGTGAACATATTATGGCTAAAGAATCTGTTTCAGCGAATAATAGCATCCAGGAGTTCTGCATCTAAAGGCAGCAGGGGGCTGCCTGTAAAGCTCAGCGATTTTAAGGCCAAAGAGACTATTGGATCCATCCAAGATAGTTATATGGCCCTCATTATCATAGTATCTGAGTACCTCACAAGCTGTAATGTATTTATCCTCACCACAGCCCTGTGAAGTAGGGAAGTGCAATGATCCCAGTTTTACTGAGGGGGAAGTTGCATCCCAATTCCAAATATGGAGGTCTTAGTTTCAATGGGAATTAGGGCCCTACATGCCTTTGAAGATCCAGGCTTAAGTAATTTTTCCAAGGTCATACAGGAAGCCTGTGGCAGAACAGGGAATTGAGCCTGGGTCTCCTGAATCCCAGGCTACTGCTGTAACCACAGGACTGTCCTTCCTTTCTAGAGCCACTTGTCTGACCTACTGTAAAATTCAGGCCATAGAATTTCACCCAGCTAGCCATGAGCTAAGCTAATAACTTGTGTTTGGCTAAACCGTATCTTCGAGAAAGGCGTCCCGTCTTGAGCCGAGGACAGCAAGCGATGGAGATCCACCACTTTCCTTGGTAGTTTGGTCCACTGGCTAATCACCCTCACTACTAAAAGTTTGTGTTTTATTTCTAATTTTGATTTGTCTGGTTTCAGCTTCCAGCCATTGGTTCTTGTTCTGACTTTAGTACCCAATATTTTCTCCCCATGATGGTACTGTAATCAAGTCACCTCAGTCTTCTTTTGGAAAAATCTAAACAAGTTGAGCTCTTTAGTCTCTCACTAGAAGATATTTTCTCCAGCCCTCAAATAATTTTTGTGTCTTTTTTTCTGCACAGTCTTCTGTTTTTAAAACATGAACCCCAGAACTGTAAGCAGTGTTCCAGTATCTGTCTCACTAATACCGTACACAGAGGTAAAATCAACCCCCTACTCACTACTCTCCTGATTATACATCCAAGGATCATTTTAGCTCTTATTGCCACAGCATCGAACTGGGAGCTCATGTTGAGTTGCCTGTCTACTAGGATCCTGGGATGCTTTTCAGCATCACTACTTTCCAGGATACAGCGCCCCCCCTCCGGTCTGGCCTACATTCCTTGTTCCTAGTCGTATGACCTGGAAAGCTAGGGGAGAATTTACTTTATATATGTACATTACTTCCCATTTGAGGCCTGCAAGCAGCAACTTGAGTCACAAGAACCTGCATGGTTCTTGGCATGAGATTCTCCTCTCATTTCCACCAGTATAAACCAGGAGAAACTCCCCTGGAGGTTAATGGAGTTGAATGGGTACGTTGGGTCTTTTTCTCTCTACACAGCAAACATTACAGGAAGGAACCACATGGGCACAGTGATTGTTATTGTCCTGTTCCATGATAATCATATCAAGCTTTGGAAGCACCTCTAGCCACATACTTTCCTGCTTAGCATTTAAAAGCAGATGGGATCAGATAGGTCCCAATGACCACCACTCTGCTCTTTTTAACAAATACAATAAAAATATTATTCAAAACAGAAAGTAAGAGAGCACAGGGGATTGGCATCCTTGATACTGTACTACAGATACACAATTTCACAGGCACAAATCCAAGGCCTAAATAGAAATAAAAATAAGTGATGGGTTTAAGCAACAAAATTCACATTTAAACCTGGATTTCATCCCTCCAGCTGACGTTCAGGGCTGTTTGTTTCTGGGAGCTTTGGTTTGTCTTATAGAGATGGAGCTGCCAGATTCAGATTGGGGATCAAATTCCAAATCTTCCACATTTTGCAGGCATCTAGGTTCAGGTTTTAGTTTGGGGCCCAACACTAATAGAAATATAGTAGGGGAAAGCAGGAATAATTGCAGACAGACTTTCTAGTACAAGTTGTTTGCACTCACATCACGGCTATTATTATCACAATATCATTGAATGCTGCAGCTCACATTTTGACCAGACCCCAAAAGACAATCCCAGACAATTGCTCTGGACACTATAAATTTAAATCAATTATATCTGCTCTCAAAAACATCCACCTACTGCCTCCTCAGTAGCAACATCTGTGGACACCCATAATTTATTCATCTGAGTACGCACTTAAACATCTGCTGGAGTGTTAGTTGAGTTTGTTAGCGCATTACTTTAAAATTTTATAAACTACTGTACAGGTGGCAAGTTTTAAAGTTAAGGAGGATAATTACTGCAGGGAAAGGGTGTTAAACAGGACTCAACCTAACTAAAAAGGCCAAGCTCTGCAGAGGGTGCATTTATTGACAAAGGAGACACTTGAGGAAAGCTCTTTAGGGCTTACTGACTGCCAGGTGCAAACCAATCCTTACTCCCCACTGCCTCAGTTTTAAATGGAGTTGAATCACAGGTGAGGATGATACCAAATTTCCTCTCTGCACCTAGAAACATTGCACTTTGGTGCATACTTGAACAAGTGAGGAAAGTATACTGGGCATGCTCAGTTTCAAATATTAATAGCTTTGTTACTGCTAATGCACATTTCTTCCAATAAGGGGAAATTCCTCATTCAGGACTGTGTGTGTGCCAAGTCTGCAGTTTGGAAACAGCCATCAGCAGGGACAAAAAGTGCATGTGTGCAGGGGCGGACCCACCTTTCCACTGATGACAACCACTTCTGTAATACTCAAAAAAAAAAAAAAAAAAAAGGGGGGGGGGGTAAGGAATAACAACATTTTATTAAATTTTCCATCCAATGTAGTTTTTGCTTTCGGGGATGAGACCAAAGTTGAGAAATTTTATTACTAAAAATAAGGTTTGTGAATGTTCTAAGCATTGACAAGGGAAGCTCATTATGGATGAGCACTACAGAAACCCCTAAGAGAGAGAAAATTTTATCTCAGCAGTAGCTGAGTAGCTATAGCACTAGTAGCTATAACAGTGCTCCCACCTTCTCTAATACCCTTCACTAACCCTTCCTTTCCACCTTGGAGTTTTTCTGCCTCTTCAAGTAAAATTCAGATTACATATAACTATTTGCAGACCTTGCCCTATTCCCCTGAAATGGTATCTTTTCAGTTTACATGAGTTCAGATCTCAAAGGAACAACACCCTTCCTCTCCTATCTATCCATGCCCCGCCCCCTTTTCTAATGCGTCCATAACCATATTATGTAGGTACCATATACAAAATGTAGAGTGACATTCTGTGTGTCCTAAAGATGGACCCAGCTTTCGTCTCTGTTTTAAACAGTGTTCTTGAGTCGCCTGGGATTCCTCTTGGTTTCCAAGAGGCAACATTGCTGAGCCATCATGTAAACTCCACTGTGGAGAAGACCTGGCTGAAGAGAAGACTCTTGCACTGGGCCTTACAGATGGTAAGTCTTGTCTCAGTCTACTTTCTAGATGTAGTGGGTAGGGTTCCATCTCTGAAGATGTGAGAGGCCTTTCCTCGCTTTATCTCTTTTTCAATGAAGGAGTGGGGAGGATCTGGCTACGTGAACCTATTCACATCCACCCCAACTCTATGCTCTAGAGTGGGGAGAAATGGCTGTGAAATATCACCTTCCTTAAAAGAGAAGAGGCCAGGAGAGGACACCAAAGGATTGAACTTGGAGATGCTGCCGTCTCTTGGTTTTCCTCTTTGTGAAAGAGGGAGCATGGAGTGGAGGTTGGGCCAGGAGAGGCTATCCTTTCCTTTTCTTGTGTGCGCGCAATTCTGTGACATCACCCTGCAGGGCAAAAATATCCCACCCCTGAAGCATGGCAGGGAGGGAAACCTGCATAGGCAGAGGCTGACCTGCGTAAAGAACAAATGTGTCAGGGATGCACATGATGGGGAGGGCAGGTGTATCACTGCCCATATAATAACTCAGCATTTACATATCATTATATATTTCCCCAGCACAGTACAGTAACTCCTCGCTTAATATTGTAGTTATGTTCCTGAAAAATGCGACTTTATGAGAAACGATGTTAAGCTAATCCAATTTCCCCATAAGAATTAATGTAAATAGGGGGCGTTAGGTTCCAGGGGAAATTTTTTTGCCAGACAAAAGACATTATGTACACATACAATATAAGTTTTTTAAACAATTTTAAACAAACAGTTTAATATTGTACACAGCAATGAATGATTGTGAAGCTTGGTTGAGATGGTGGATATTTCCCAGGGAATGCCTTACTGCTAAATGATGAACTAGCACTCGGCTGAGCCCTCAAGGGTTAATACGCTGTTGTTAATGTGGCCTCACACTCTACAAGGCAGCATGGACTGAGGCAGGAGGGAGGAAACACAATAGATGCAGGCTGGTAGCTGCAAACACTTTCCTGCAAAAACTGAACATGATGATGAGCCCACGCTATCCAGCTGGAGGGCACCACTCCCTCCTCCTGATAGTACATGCACGGCTGCACAGGTGCTGACTTTCCAAAGTGCTGGGGGGTGCCTGCATGAGTGAGAGAGAGAGAGATGTGCATTGCCCCTTTAAGTACGTGGACCCACTTCAAGTATGTTGCCCTTTTAAGCAGATCAGACAGGAAGCAACCGCTTCCAGCAAGCTCCCTCCTTTCTATCCCTGAGCCCTGTCCCCCTTCTCCGCTTTGTGGAGAGGGGTTTCAGAACGGGGAGCGGGGGGCAGGAGGACATCCTGATATCGGCACCCCTTTCCTCCCCCCAAGCAACCAGGAAGCTCGCAGGAGCAGCTGAAGGGCAGGGTAGGAGCAGCGCGGCAGTGGGGGGAGGGCCACCTGAACTGCTGCTGGGCAGCTGCCGAACCACATATCTTACAGGGAATTTAGGGGAGCTGATGGGAGGGAGTGTCTGCTGGATCCCCCTGTTTCTAATCCCCACAAGGAGGGGCTGCTCTTCCAGAGAATCCTGTGAGCAGTGGACAAAGCAGGCAGCTGCCAAACGACATTATAAGGGAACATTGCACAACTTTAAGCAAGCTTGTTCCCTAATAGATCAGCAATGTAACAATGAAACATCGTTAACCGGGACGACGTTAAGTGGGGAGTTACTGTACACACATTTACTAAATAATCCGCACAGCACCAATGTGATACGCAGTGATGTTGTAGTTGTGGCGGTCCCAGGATATTAGCGAGACAAGGTGGGTGAGGTAATATCTTTCATTGGGCCAACTTCTGTTGGTGAGAGAGACAAGCTTTCCAGCTTACACAGAGCTCTTCTTCAGGTCTGGGAAAGGTACTCAGAGTGTCACAGCTAAATACAAGATGGCACAGATTGTTTAGCATAAGTAAATACATATTTCAAGGGACCATTCAAAGTGAAGTGGCCTGTTAACACCCCTCTAGTCATAGGGAAGAAAGGAAGGCGGGAGGGGAGAAGCTGGAGGGGGTTGTTAGTGGGTTATAGATTGTTGTAATAATCCATATATCCAGTGTGTCTGTTCAGTCCATGATTTTTAGTGTCTAGCAAAGTTATGAATTTAAGCTCCCAGACTCGTCTTTTGAAAAGTGCTGTGCAGGTTTCCTATGAGGACGAAGACTGAGAGGTCAGAAATGGAGTGGTCACTTTGTGAAAGCCGATAGGGCGTTTTTGTCTTTTATCATTTTCCTATGTGAGTTCTTTGGAGAGCACAGTGATTGTCTGGTTGCGCCCACATAGTTGTTGTTGGTTAGCACCTATGTGTGGCATTCACCTGTGACAGATGGGGAAATGGAAACACAGGGGCCTTGTCTACAATAGCCTATTTCTTTCTGAAAAATGTCCTGCCATTGCTAATACCTGCACAGCTCCCCCAGTGGCAGCTCTAGTGTAGACAAAGCGCTAGTAGCCACCAACCATTGGGTCGACCTGCTCTGAACAGGATGCGATAACATAGTGGTTCTAACACCACGGCAGTGTCTATGCTAGTGCTCTTACCATTGCTAGAGCTGCACTAGGTTCAGCAATGGAGGAGTCTTTCAGAAAAGAGGCTGGTAGAGACTCAGCTAGAGACATTAAGTATATGCTGAAGGCCACAGAATGAGTCAGTGGCGGAGATGGGATTAGTTCTCCACAGAATGTGAGATTAGTGCTTGGCTTTTATACATGGGCTGATTTAGTCACAATACCTCTTGCATGGGTGAGAAGCAGATGTCTCACAGAGGAAGGGGAGTATGCATGGGATGTCTCTTGGGGGGAGCGATCAGATCTCTCGGGAGTGTACACACTGTGGCTGTCTTGGGCAGGAGCACACCCGAGGGGACAGGTATGTCCAAAACATGTTGGGAGCAACACAGGGAAGAAGGAGAGAGGCCCTCCAACCACCTCCACCAAAACCCAGCTGTCTCCAGAGTGGGAGAGGGAATCAAACCTACAGCAGAGGCTGGTAGCACAATTCCCCCAGGTGTAGTTTGTTCCTCTCTGCGTACTCCGCCCATAACAAGTATGGCTAACTGTGTGTCTCCCCAATGGGCTGAGCCAGAGCCCATCTGCACAAACAAACTGACCATAGCAGGAGCTCATGTTATGGTCAGTTTGCCTGGTTAACAGGCCCTAAGGGCTTAGCTGAGAGATGAGTCTGAGCTCTCAATTTCTAATCCAGACCTCCCCAGTTTCAGAGGGGCTTGGTTCAGGCCCATCTCTAGTTCAGACTGAGGAGATATTTGGCCTGATTCTCAGTTCTGCCCAAACTCCTGTCGGCTTGGGAAATGAGGGGGGGAGGGACGGAAGCATATTCTGGGGCCAGCGTTTGGGCTGTTCTGTCTTGAACTCAGCTCCCCTAACCTCATGGAGCACAGCTGCGCTCTGGCCGTGCCCTCTGGCTTTTGATCATACTCCCTATACCACAATTACACTATACAGGATATAAACCCTCTTGCCTCAGTGCCTAAATACCTGGGGATTTCAAGAACCTTCCCCCTGCAGGCAGGTTATTCCATAATTATCCATTACAGGCTTCTTGCACCTTCTTGAAGCATCTGGTACTGGTCACTGCTGAAGAAAGGATGCTGGACTAACTGAGCCACCGGTCTGATGGGCTATGGGAACTTTCTTTGATCCAATGTTGAGGCTTCCTCTGGGCTTCCAACTTCATCTCATAGTCTCTGTTCGTCTACTAGAAAGTAAAGTCTTTAGGGAAGGGCTTGTCTTCAGTTAGTGCTTTGTACAACAATAACCTTGTTCAGTGATTACCAAATGAATTACAGTTTATCTGGTCATGGGGCACTTGAAAGTTATATGCAGCTTTGTACTGTGAATTCTCACTCCAGCATAGATCAGCTGGCTGGCTGGTGAGACTCCTGCAGCCTGGAATTGTTGCACTGCGAAATGTAAATGACTGACTTTGAAAGTCCTTGCCGAGCTGACGAGGAAAAGGCCTGACACAATGCGTGGATAATTATTTTCTTTTAAAATAACAGAGAAGCACAGCTCCTGCAGCTCCTTTTGACACCCACCAGCTCTCACTTTTGCTGTAGAGTAACAATCACATTTAGAATGTGTCTATTACAAGCAAAGTTTCCATGTGTTTAAATCTAATGAATAGTACATTGAAAGGAAAATATTTAGTTTAGAAATTCCTCTTTAATTTCCTATAACCACTTTTTTCCATACTAAGCCTGTCCCGTGCCAGTGAAGTCCAGTGTATTGCGGTTTTCAAGGAGCTGAATGTGGTGAGGGAGAGGGTTGCCTGGACTAGTGCAACCAGATCACTTGAAAGTTTCTTCTAGTTACTACTCCCCTCTATGTCCCTCACAGCTCTTGCTTCACAGCTAAGGGACTAACCTTAGGTTTTGATGTTATCAAATGAGAGTGAGGAACTGAGGTCTGATCTACACTATGGCGTCAGGTCAACATATGCCGCATTAGGTCAAATTTATAATGTGTGTCTCTACACTGCTGAGCCCTTTCTGCTGACCTAAAGGACTTGTAAAGTCGATGCCTGTATTTGGCGAGAGGCATAGCATTAGAGTCGACCTTCCCGGGTCAAATTAGGTGTAGTGTAGACACAACGCTGTGTAATTTGTTGGGATTGGCTTCCGGGAGGTGTCCCAGAGTGCTCCAATGTGACCACTCTGGACAGCACTTTCAACTCCACTGCACTTCAGCCACATACACAGGAAAAGCCCCGGGAACTTTTGAATTTCATTTCCTGTTTGATCAGCATGGAGAGCTCACCAGCACAGCTGACCATGCCTGCCCAGGGCCGCAGACGCGCTCCAGCATGGAGCATAAAGGAGACACTGGATCTGATTGCTGTGTGGGGAGAAGAGTCTGTGCCGGCAGAGCTCCAAACCAGCAAAAGAAATTATGACATCTCTGCCAAAATTGCGCAGGGAATGGGGGACCAGGGCCGGCTCTAGGCACCAGCAAAACAAGCTGGTGCTTGGGGCGGCACATTTTTAGGGGCGGCATGGCCGGCGCCAGAATGCCGCCCCTGCCGCCCCTAAAAATGTGCCCCGGCCGCCCTAGCTCACCTCCGCTGCTGCTGCCACTCGTGCGCCACGGCATGTGAAACAGCTGATTCGTGCACCGCTACTCGTCCTCCCTCCCAGGCTCTCAAACCTGGGAGGGAGGGGGAGACTCCGAGCGGCCGCGGCGCGGGCGCCGCTTCTCCCCCTCCCTTCCTCCCTCCTAGGCTTGAGAGCCTGGGGGGAGGAGGCAGGGCTGGGGATTTGGGAAGGGGCGGAGTTGAGGCAGGGCCGGGGGTGGGGTAATTAAAAAATAGGGGGGGCGGCCAAAATTGTGTTTGATTGGGGCGGCAAAAATCCTAGAGCCGGCCCTGCGGGGGACAAAGGCTACACCAGGGACACACAGCAGTGCTGCGTGAAAATAAAGGAGCTCAGGCCAGCGAACCAGAAGACAAGGGAGGCAAACAGTCGCCCTGGTTCTGAGCCCACAGACATGCTGCTTCTATGAGCAGCTGCATGCGATTCTAGGTGGGGACCCCACCAGTACCCCAACACTCTCTGTGGATACCTCCCAGGGGCCACAGGCAGCCTCGGGCAACAATGAGGAGGACATTGTTGATGAGGAAGAGGAGGAGAATGCGCAGCAGGGAAGAGGAGGAGAATGCGCAGCAGGCAAGCAGAGGATCCATTCTTCCTGACAGCCAGGACCTTTTCCTAACTCTGGAGCCAATCCCCTCCCAGGGCCTATTGTTGCGGGACTGTGATGGCGGGGAAGGCACCTCTGGTGAGTGCACACTTGTAATCACACTACAGGGGTTAAATGCAATTGTGTTTAATGTTTAATCTGAGGTAAACAATCGGGATACAGTGGTGGCCAGTGCAGCCACGCAAAGGGTGTTCCCCGGAAAAGCCTGTTTATGTGCCAAGAGTTCCCCACCAAAAAATGGTGTCCCCGGGTGTGCCCTGACACCTCCTTCCCTTTCTTGTGTGCTTACCATGCCTGCCTGCAAACCGAAAGTCTGCCATGTGTTGTACCTTACTGGTAGGCGCTTCTTTTAAAAGACAAAATGTGGCCGTGTACCTCAGGGAATGCATTTACTGCTGTGAAGTGTTTCATTCATTGCAAGAGTTAACCTTCTGTTTTCAACAATGTATGTTCTGTAAGGCTACCCTTCTGGGGGTTTTTTCCCTTGCAGCTGCAACCTTGTGTGAGGGTGCTTCCTCCACACCAGCACAAAGGCTGTCCCAGATTAGAAGGTGAAAAAAGCGGACAAGGGAAGACATGTTCTGTGATTTGATGCGTTCCTCCGAGACTGACAGAGCCCAGCTGAATGCATGGAGGCTCACACAGTTGGAGAGCATGCGCACTGACCTAGAGGGCAGGAAAGCATGCAGGGAACAAGAGCATAACACACAAGAGGAGATATTGCGACTTATGGGGGAGCAAACAGACATGTTGAGGCATCTGGTTGAGGTGCAGGAAAGGCAGCTACACCTTAGAGTCCTGCTGCACCCAATGATGAACCAGCTGCCCTCCTCACCAAGTTCCACATCTTCCTCTCCCAGATGTCTTAGAATGCGGGGCGGGGTGGGGGGGAGTTCCGTTATCCCTTGAACTCAACTCCAGGGGATGGTTCATGGAGCAGAAGGCTCTCATTCCCACAGCTTGGATTGCTAGACAGTGCAGTTGTAATAAGCTATGTGTCCTTACCCCTCCCGTCCTGTGTTATCAGGACCTTAGACCCGGGTTATCTTTGCTATTCATTGCTGTCTTTGTTCAGTGTTTGATAGCATAATAAATATGCACGGATTGAGGACAAGAGGCTCTTTATTCATTGTGCACACAGTGGTTGGTGGGCGTTTAGTTTACAGGGCAGTACATGCAAAAAAGGGGGCAGCTTGGTAAGGAACAACACACAGAACTGTCACACCAGCGTTGGGTCATTCATGAAACTGGTTTTCAAAGCCTCTCGGAGATGCAGTGCACCTCGATGTGCTCTTATTTCCCTGGTGTCTGGCTGTTCATAATTGGCAGCTAGGCGATCTGTCTCAACCCCCCACCCCCCCAGAAACTTTCCCCTCTTACTTTCACAGATATTATGTACTATATAGCAAGCAGCAACAACAATGGGAATATTGCTTTCGCTGAGGTCTAACCTAGTGAGTAAACTGCGCCAGCACCCCTTTAAATGTCCAAAGGCACATTTTACCACCATTCTGCACTTGCTCAGCCTATGGTTGAACTGCTCCTTAGTGCTGTCCAGGCTGCCTGTGTATGGCTTCATGAGCCAGCAGGAGCAAGGGGTAGGCTGGGTCTCCAAGGATAACTATTAGCATTTCAACATCACCAACGGTAATTTTCCGATCTGGGAAGAAAGTTCCTTCTTGCAGCTTTCTGAAGAGACCGGAATTCCTAAAGATGCGCGCATCATGTACCTTTCCACATTGATGTCGGTGAAACGGCCCTTGTGATCCACTAGCGCTTGCAACACCATTCAGAAGTACCCCTTGCAGTTTATGTACTCTTTGGCAAGGTGGTCTGGTGCCAAGATGGGGATGTGCATTCTATCGCCCCACCACAGTTAGGGAACCCCATCGCGGCAAAGCCATCCACTATGCCCTGCACATTTCCCAGAGTCACTACCCTTCTTAGCAGAAGTGAATTGATTGCCCTGGCTACTTGGATCCCAGCAGCCCCCACGGTAGATTTACCCACTCCAAACTGATTCCCGACTGACTGGCAGCAGTCTGGCATTGCAAGCTTCTATAGGGCTATCACCACTCGCTTCTCAACTGTCAGAGCAGGTCTCATTTTGGTATTTCTGTGCGTCAGTGCTGGGGAAAGCAATTTGCAAAGTTCCATGAAAGTGGCCTTACGCATTCGTAAGTTATGCAGCCACTGCTCCTCATCCCCATACCTGCATAACTATGTGGTCCCACCAATCAGTGCTTGTTTCCTAGGCCCAGAAGCTTGTTTCCTGGGCCCACCCTGTCAACAAGCCTGGTTGCTGCCGCCAGTATGTGCGAATTGCTCCATGGCTTCCAGCACGGCTATTTGGTAACATCACATTCTTCCACACGGCAGCTCCTGGCTAGGCTCTGCAAATACCGCAGGACAACACGCAAGGTATTTGCGATGCTCACAACAACAGTGTATAGCTGAGCAGGGTCCATGCTTGCCGTGCTATGGCGTCTGCATGAGAACCCAGGCTTAGGTGCGAAAATGATTGTTTGCCATTGCTTTTAGGGAGGGAGGAAGGGAGGAGGGAAGAGCATCATGGGAGGCTGATGACATGTATCCAAAACAACCCGCGAAAATGTTTTTGTCCCATCAGGCACTGGGAGCCTAACACAGAATTCCAATTGGCAGCAGGAACTGTGGGATAGCTGGCCACAGTGCATCGCTCCATGTGTCGATGCTAGCCATGGTAGTGAGGATGTGCTCCTCCGACGGAATGTCAATAGTGGGGACATGTAGCATCGACTTTGTAAAATCAGAAGCTAAATGTCGACTTCAATAAATTCGACCTAATTTCGTAGTGTAGACATATCATCAGACTCTGCTTTGGTTTCTGCCACCTAAAAGATTGCAGTGAGAGAGTAAATTCCTGCCCCTTTAATGAAAAGGCATTCTATTTTTATCCTCACTAAGAGCCAGTCACTGCCCACCCCTAAAATAGTAGCCAGTGGAGGGGTCAATGGAGTCTGATGCCTGCTGTGTGACAGGGGGATAGGCCAGGATTTTCAAAGGAGTCTGAGTGAGTTAGGCACCCAATTTCCTGTTGAAATTCAATGGGAATTGGGCATCCTGTGAAAATCACAGCCAGTAACCTTGCGTTACCCTGACTGATGTTAAGTTACGGGGGCCCAGAAAATAAAGACCAGTCGCTTAGCTGAGTGTCACATCTTTATTACACCCTCACCCTCTTCTGCGTGTGTGCAGAGCCCCTGATACAGCGGGATTATTATGGTTCTAGAGTTCAAGGGTGGGACAACATGCCAGGAGCCAACACAGAGAAGCCTTGAAGATTAGTCCCACGTGGCTTCCAGGCATAGCTGTGCATGCTGGCATGAGGCAGGGCCAGCAGAACCGCACCTGGCAAAAATGTGCCCAGATGCAACGTTACAGTTATGAACGTAAACACTGAAATAGGGGATGAAAAGTCAAGGCTTCATAGCAATGTGAATTCCCCCCATGCACACTGAGTTATCATCCAAAATGCTGCATACATGGAAAGTGGGCAGCTTAGTGTTGCTCGTGTCAGAAAATTTCAAATGTTTCAAAACTTAAAAGAAAAGCGGAAAAAATGTGACCAAATATTTTGCTTCTCTGCCCCCCTTAATTTTTTTGTCCAATTCTCATTGTTAAACCTGAGAGTATGTCTGCACTGAAGCTGGGCAGTGTGATTTCTAACTTGGGTAGACGTACACGTAGGGTGACCAGACATCCCGATATTAGGGGCTTTGGCTTATGTACACAACTCTACCCCCCTGTGAAAAAAAGTCTCCTGATTTTTCACACTTGCTGTCTGGTCACCCTACGTATATGTGCTAGCTCTGCTCAAGCTAGTGCACTAAAATTAGCAATGTGGCCGCCGCAGCACAGGTGCCAGCTCAAGCTAGCTGCCCAAGTACAACCCTGTCCGAGACCCTAGGTATGTACTCTGGCAGCTAGCCCAAGCCGCAGCCCATGCCTCTCCAGCCACACTGCTATTGTTGGCATGCTAGCGCGAGCAGAGCTAGTGTGTGTACATCTGCCTGAGCTGGGAATTACACCAGCCCGATTTGTGCATGTGAGACCAAAAATCAACTGAAATCTGTAGGGGGCAAAAGCAGTGGAGACTCTCTGCAAAGGGACTCTGCACTCCCTTCCACAGCAGGCAGCTTTCTGTGGTGGGTCTTCCCAGTCACTGTAAAGGGAGGCATGGAGGTGGATGATTCTTGCACAGTGTGGATCCAGTGAGCCAAAATATGCCCAAAGAACAGGAGCAGGCTGCATCTGCTATGCCCTCTTCCCACATGCCCTGTGGCGTAGCTGAAGTCCAGCAGCACTGACATCCTGTGCAGTTGGGCCGCAGCTATTTTCACCAGGTGCAAAGCTCTGTAATAAGGGCTTTGTTACATTTCCCAGGACTTGATCTTTAATTTCCTTCTTTGAAAACAAAAAACAAAACCGAAGACAAGGAAAGGGAGGAAAAGGAGATTTAGACATGAATGGTTAATCTCTGTTGATTTTCAGCATACTTCCACAGATGGCTGCAGCTCTAAAACTCTGCAATGAAACAGCAGCACAAACACGCATTCATGTAAATATCAAACAATGCTGGTATGTGCTTAAAAACCAGCTTTACTTTCCTGCTATTCACAAGGTGGTGTTTATTGTTCACAACTCCTGAAATTTTCAAAATGTTTAGCACAAATACTTATTTGTCTGAATATTTGTACTGGTAGCACATTGTGCATTATTTGACCGTCATTATTCTCCTGTTTTAAAAATTTTCAGTCCTCCAATCAGGAAGCAGAAACAAAATCATGTGACCACCACCCCTCACCCTGAGACCAATCACACATCAAAAATAGTGTGTATTCAAAGTGAACAGTTGATAAACACCACTTTGGCTGAAAATTGTTTGCCTAAACTATTCTGCAAATATTTACAAATGACAAAAACATTTGGAGAAATTGGGATTGATTGATTTTTACTGTGCTCCACAGTCACATAAACTACAGTATAATAATTCTACACTGAGGAGGAATTTCGTAGTGCAAAACTAGTTCTTCTTTGAGAGGTGTTGTTCGTGTCCATTCCAATCAGATGTGTGCGCGCGCACATGCACGGTAGCCGGAAGATTTTTCCCATAGCAGCCTGTGTTGGGTTGGCCTGGGCACCCTCTGGAGTCGAGCCTTCATGGCGCTCAATATAGAGACCTGCCGACCCGCCACCCTCCTCAGTTCCTTCTTACCGCCAGTAACAGTTAGCTGGAACTTCCCATAGCCCTTGCTTAGCAAGTGCCTTTATCTCCGTTTTCTGTATATAGTTCTTTAGTTAGTGTATAGTAGTTAGTTAGTTAGTTGGGGGCTCCCCCTCCTTCTGACTCCCTGGAATCGGGGTATGCCACGGTCTCTGGGTTTCAAAACCTGAGGTCTGTGCTAAGTGCATGCCAAAGACTTGTCTAAGGTGCCAGGGGAAGGTCACCAAAAGGACTGGTGTAGGATCTGCCACGAGTTCCGTACAAGAACTATTAAAGAAAGGGAACAGCGGCTTAAGGCTCTCCTAAGGGAGGCAGCTCTTCGCCGCCACTCAGACCCCAGGTCGGGGGACCCCGCACCCAGCCCATCCTCATCGGCATGGAGCCCCTGCACCATCATCCCGGGCACCGGTGCTGAAAAGGGACTCCTCCCGAGACGCTCAGTACCAGCCTGGCTCCTTCACTGTGGATGCATTCCTCCTCCCATGGGGAGGCCATCTCCAATACGCGTTTCCCCCTTGTTCACAAGCTGCTCATCAAGATACGGAGGGAACAAGCTTCAGTGATATTGATAGCTCCACCCTGCCCCCGCCAGCGCTGGTACACATCACTCTGGGAAATGTCAGTGGAAACTCCAGTCACTTTGCCGCTCTTCCCAAATTTACTAACTCAGGATCACGGCCGTCTCCAACACCCAAACCTCAAGTCGCTGCACCTCACGGCATTTGAGCTCCATGGTTGAACCCGATGGAGCTTTCTTGCTTGGATCAGGTTAGACAAGTGCTCCTTGGCAGTAGGAAACCCTCTACGAGAGCCACCTACCTTGCCAATTGGAAGAGA